CCCCAGTGCGCCTGCCGCAGTCTCCCTGCCCGAGCCTGACCTGCTGCAACATGACGGCTGCACCGCAGTCTGCGCCAGGGAGACTGGGCATCTTTACTTGCACGTGTGTACAGCCCAGCCGCCGGTTTCCCTAGCCACTCCGCTTGCTGATCACCAGCAGCATCCCTCCCCCTGCCTTAATGCAGATTACAGGGCAGACATTTGCCAGGAAATGTCACATTTTAAGTGTTTTCCTCCCACTCAAAAACTTTCAGAGAGATTCATCAAACAGAAAACAGAGAGAGGAAAAAGCCTTAGGGAGCATCACACTGGGCAGGAACTCATTTTTATCCAGTTTCTTGAAGTTATTTTACCAATTACCTATTCTTGAGCTTCAGACACCCTCGGAGGCCTGCTTCTCCTGCCAGTGGAGGTAGGCGCACATTTGGACCCCTCTGAGTTTGCAGCTGTGGAGAAGGATGGAGAAACCCAAAGATTAACCTTCCCCTAATTCAAAGTACGCAGTCTTGCAGACTGCATCTCCTGTTGCACCTGGAGAGTTGACATTTCACAAATACATTAGCTCTTTCCATGCGATTTTGTGTAATTTAGTGCTATGGATGGTGTACGGTTCAGGCAAACACACCTCGTGTCACTGGTCTGTATGTAGAATAAATTGGCGCTCTTACCATCCCAAATACATTCTGCACATCAGAGCTGATGGATTGGCTGTACCCCAACCATCTCCCCCGTTTGTTGGTTCCCGACGGGCAACAAATGGATCACAACAGCACAAGCTGCTTATTGGAATAAACAGCTTGTTTAATTGCAAAAAGGGAAACGGTACGGAGGGAAGTTTCATCCAAAGTGCCCTAGAGACTGCAGGCACGAACTTGGGGAATAGCTGAAGGCTGCATTGATGTAAACAGATTCAAAGTTAACTATGAATGCTCAGTGAAAGATTAATATAATCTGTTCTGCTATCTCTGGTAGAAATCAATGACCTAGGAATATTTTCTCTGCAATGAGCTTGCTAAAAGAAACCCAGATGCTTATTTACATTGAATCTATCAAAACCTGCTCCTGTCTCTTCCACCCCAGATAGATTTACATCTCTCAACCCCTGCAACCAAATCCGGGCTGCTCAAAACCAGCTCGTGAACTGTGACTATGTTCCTGCCACAAATCGAAGTGGAAAGGGCGCAGAGACACCCACTGCTCCCCGGGCAGGAGCAGAACCAGTCAGCCCATCATTTGCTTTTCCTCGTACTTCACTCTGCTTTGCCTCCCAGGCAGACAGCCCCACTGCTGCAACAGCCCTTCGACCAGGCTCCTGCTCTCCCTAATAAGCACCGCCTCCAGGCAGGACATAGCCATTTCAGTCAGCCTCAGGCAGCTACACTATCCCTATTCAAATGGGAATTAAAATCCCCCCAAGAAAATTCTCGTTGGACACCCAAACCCACTAAATTTGACTGCAAGTCTCAGCCACAAACAGGAGCATAGTTTGAACAACACAGCGCATCCCAGCTACCCCTACATGACATGGTGCTTGGTCATAAAAAGTTAGTAAAGCTTTGAGAACTTTAATGAAAAAAAAGCCTACATTGAACACCCAAACCAAAATTATCACAGCACAGAGCCCTCCTGCTCCAAATCTGCAGAGATGTGCTATGATTTAAGTATTTAATGACTCATAATTCAAATCAGCTGTCTTTTGCTTTATTAATCCCCCATCTTTTCAAGCAAGCACACTTGATGCTGTCTCTTCTGCATGAGCTTGGAGCTAATGTCAAACAGGAGGCTTTGCCAGAGGCAACGGATAGAGGCAAAGTTGGGCATCTCTTTGAATCACCTCGTGCAGCAGCTTGTTTCACCCCTAGGGAAGCAAGCTGGGAAACCCAGCTGCGCCCAGTTCAAACCAGCTGCAATAAAGCCTGTCTTCAGCCTGAAATGCCTCATTTAAAGGTTGGTCACGGGAATCACCTGGGGTCTGTGGGGGATAAGATGGGTGTTGTGGCCCTGCCTGTGCCAGTGACACTGCTGCCACAGTGTGCTCTTCAGTGCAGCTCGGTGGCTGTCTGCAGGCTGGGTTGCAAGTTGCTCTTTCTCTCTTTAATACATGAACTGGGGCCAAAGGCAGCAGTGGGGTCGAAAATACTCTTCTGTGGCTGGCATGGCCCTAAAGGGAGTAAAACCATACTGGTCAATCTGACAGACACTTCTGGCAGTTGAGGCAAACTGGATTCAAATACCTGATCAGGGCTGCTTCCCTCCCTCCTGTTGTCTAGAGGGTAACAGGATCAGCTGGTTTTGATATCCTTAAACTATTGCCCTCATATCACTGTTCCCTTTCTTACCCTGGTGTGCATCGAACTCGGCAGAGATGTGAAGCCTGAGGTTGATGGGATGAGAGTTTGGAGACAACCCAAGTCAGCAGGAGTGCTCTCTAGAGCTAGATCCCACCGCAGATGTAGTGGGAAGGAGAGTCCTGGGGCCTGATCCATCCAACCGTGCCAGATGAAAACAAACATGTGTCCACCCCTGCTTGCGTCTGTGGCTGTTGGCTGCAGGTGCTTTATGCCCGACTTTGTTTCTAGTCTAGATACTAAGGAGGGTGCAACTGTCCTGGTGGGCACATGCATAAATTTGCAAATGCTTGTGGTTAACTTGCTAATCCTGAGCAAGCCTGAGCCTTGCTGGTGCGCAAGCCCTACCGCACCAGTAGTCCTTTGGAGATATTCTGACTTATTTAGGAAAACTGGTGCGAGTTGTGTGCAGGTTTATACCCTCATTTATTTGGTAACATGGATGATATTATAGTATCGTGCAGTTACAGAGTAAAATAGACTTTTCCTGGCCTAGATCATCAGGGCTTTTCTTCCTCAGACCTGAAAAATCCAGTGTGCTTCTCTCCTGGAGACTGAGAGCCCTGACTTACCTCTTGGTTGCTCTCTGGCCTAACAAATGAGTCTTGATTCCTTCCACAGGCGACCTTAGGTTGGTGAAAAATGCTGCAGCCCAGCTGCAAACCAGAGACCAAGAGACTCCTGATAGCCCAGATCCCGACTAATCTCCAAAGAAACCTGGTTCCTACTATGCTGCTTTCAAAAGCTCCATATAGTTCAGACTGATGAAGCCTTTAAAAAAGCAAGCATGGAAAGAAACTGTACAGCCTAACACTGTGTCCTGCATTTCCATAGTGGGTCTCTTCACATAGGTAGAGTTGCTTTGTTTTCAGTGGAAATGTCATCTATTTTATGTTTTCCAAGCTTTTATTTTTAGATCTGGAATGGTAACAGTCCTGTTCTTTCCCCTTTATGGTGTGGCCCTTGTAGATATAGCAGAAAAATATTCGTGTCATTTTTCACTATTTCTTTAATTTATGTGGCAACATTTTACACCATCATCATGTTGGAAAAGTGGTGTAATTTTTCCTAAACTGGAAAATTCTGATATGTTGAAAGAATCACAAAGAAAAAGAAAATAAAGAACAACATTGAAAGACGTGTTGCACTCCAGCACATCCTTCTTAGTATTCTGCTAGTACCAGTAAGAGAAACTGGAATCCAAAATGCTGACGGTTCACCGTATTTCCGTGTCCAAACTGAAATGGGAGAGGGCATTATTTTGCATAGGATTGCAGAAAACTAGAAGTTTTGGATTTAAACCTGCCTTATGTTGCTTAAAAATGACACAGGTAGATGTTCACCTGCAGTGCTAATGAGCTTTTTTGCACTGAAGTATTTACACATAGCTGCACACCAGAGTAACTAAGTAGCAATTTTGCTGTGACTGTCACAGCAAACCCAGCTCTAACCACTGAGACACTGCTCCTTCCCTCACCCTTAATGAAATGACATGTGGGCAGAACCTGTTATTACCGTGCAACGGCTTTCTTCATAGAAAGCGCTACTTCTCCAAAGAGCCCTTCCAACCTGGCCATAGCCTAAGTTCTCAAACCTTACCCAAAACAAGTTCAGCATGAAGCTTCACTAACAACCACTGACCCAAACGGGGACTCTCTCCCGTTCCTGATGTTCTCACCTACTGGGTCCTGCAAAAACCCAGACGTCCTCTTTCAGTAGTGAGGGGCCTGGGCAAGTGTCACTTAGCTAATGAAAACTGATGGGGTAAAGGAAGTGCTAGTCCTCTACCTTTCTGATGGTGGAGAAGGTGGTGTGGGGTTTCCTCTTCCACTCCATCTGCTGCCTGCATAGTCCCTGGATTCTCTTCAGTGACATCCTCTGAGTCTGTGGCTCTGCAGCAAAGTACTCTTGTTTCTGGCTTCCAGTACAGGGTCCCTTCACCTTTCTGACATGATTCATTGGCAAATGAAGACATAAATTCCTCATCAAGGTAATTGATACCAAATTCACCTGGCGGGAAGAGAATCCAGCACTCAGTAGTTGTTGCTGAACCACCAGGCCTCCAGCAATGTGAGGCATGACCAGGGTTGACTGGAAAATAGGGGGACTGATGACTACAGTGCATGGCTAATCTGAGTAGGGTTTCTGGGTCAGGGATCACCAAATGTCGCTGCTTTGTCCATCGGTGGGTTATCAGTCTAAGACCAGACAGGGCACTTGAGCCTACACTTCTCCTGTCTCGGTCCTAGGGACCTGTGCTCCCTGTAAAGCTCTCCCATGCCCAGTGTGGCAGAGAAAGAGGGGACCCTAACATCATCAGAGAAGAAGGGGTGAACTGGGAGCTTCAGGAGAGGCCACAGAGAGGATGGGACTCAAGTAATCCTGGCAATGCCAGGGATGCAGGGATCTCTCTGCCCTGGTCACTCTAGATGCACTGGCAGCATCTCTTACCTTCTGTCAGCAAGCCAATGTTGTAAGAGAAGCACCTTACCTACCTGCTCCTCACTCCCAATCACTTACTCAGTCTTTTAAAGTAGGAGACTGTGTCCTGGTAGCCATGGATAAAAAACTGGTTCAGAACCTGCAGGGGAGAGGTAGCAGTCAGGGCAGATGGGCCAGCTATTGGGGCCTCATGGCTCTCGGTACCTGTAGAAAGCAGCTCACTTGACACGTGGGAAGCTGAAAAATATACTGCAAGCGGCAAATGTTTCTTTTTGATATCTGTAAAATACAATCAGAGAGTTGGAAAGTGAAGAAGGCAGCTGGGCAATCTTTGGGACAGATGTCGTATTCGCCAGCGAAAGCAGACACGGTAATTGTGGTCCGGGACACGAAGTTGGCCCGCCACATGCAGAGTTCTCCATCAACGTAACGCTAGGAGAGAAAACAAGGAACCCTGAGACTTTGTCTTTTCAGAGAGTAGAGTGCTGTGTCACATGTGCATGCATATGGGGCTTCTTCCCCACCCAGTCCCAAACTAGACTGAGGTACTGGGGCTACAGAGATAGCCCTCCAGGGAACAGCCCTGATCACTGTCCCCTGTGCTCCAGGTCTACACCCACCACCTCCTCCTTTCCAGCTGAAAAATTACTCTTCAATGAAATCAGGGCAAAGTGCAGCAGAAAGGAGTTGAGCTAACCCCATGGACAGGCTGAGGGTGGATGTTTTTGTGAGGTCAGTTCTGTCTGCAGTGAAGTCAGACAGTGGGACACTTGGGTTCAGTTCCTCCCTCTGTAGACACTGTGAGATCACAGCACAAAGCAATTTTGGTGGCAAACAGGGGTATAAATGTGCTTAACGCCACCAGTGGAGAAAAGATACGGGCTAGATGGGCCCTTGGCCTGACCTGGGATAGGGTCTCCAGACTACAAGGCTACTCACCACTCCATGGTACGTAGGAGGTAATAACCCAAAATACACAGGGATGAAGCAGCTGCATGTTATGGCCTGTGGGTGAGATGGAAAACACAGAAGTGAGCAAAGAGCCGCAAAAACCTGTTGCTTTTGGGAATGGTGGCTCATTTGTGGATGCCAAAATGGGGACCCGCAGCTGAGTTGTTGGGCACTGCTGACTACTGTGGACCAGCCCATGTCTGATATCCACAGCCAGGGTTGGAGAAGGAAGAAACTAACCTGTGAAATGCCTCATTTTGCTCTTTGCATATTCTGACCCTGTAGATAATTCAGCCAGCAATAAAAAAGGCTGATTTTTTAAATTATTTTCAGCTTGTGATCCTGTCTGGCTTCAGAGGGTGGCAAGGACAGAAATCGTGGCATGGACTGCGAGGGTCCAGGCTTCCCCCACGGACAGGCAGTAAATCTCACGCAGCTCCTCCCCTCGCAGGGTGGCTGTGGCTGCTCTCACCTGAATGAGGTCCTCCCTCGAGGCAAACTCTGAAACCAGCACGCATTTCCAGTCGCGCAAACGGGTGAGGATAACATGCAGCTTCCCAGATACCAGCTGGTGGGCGTTCGTTGGCAGGTATTTGTTTAAGACCTCCTTTAACAATTTAATGGCTTTTCCTCCAGGAAGAGGCAACCAGAAAGAGGTTTGCAGAGCACTGAGGACGCACAGCCTGACTTCATCTAAAGCAAAGCAAAGCAATCATTCCACATCCCTTATATTATTTACATACTTTCTGGGCTGCACTTCCACCTGTTAAAGGGGCATTTCACCATGCTGATAAATACTCATAAAGAGCCATTATTTTCATTAGGGCTGAACCTCTCATGAGTGGACCCAGATTTTCCAAGGACCTTCAATATTCCAGGAACCAGAAGGATTTTCTTTTCCCATTTCTCTCCATTTCCGCAACAAGACGTCTTAAAGGTTTTTGGAGATATGGGAGATAATTGACAGGAAGCCTTTGTGTAACATTTTCTCCCGTTGGCTCTGCATCTATACCCCCTAATGTATTTCTCAGCTCTGTGACTATAATTTTATTGCAACAGCAATACTGATCCTCTCCATATTCAATATTTTCTTTCCCCTCTGTGTTTTGGTAATCTACCAACAACCTCAAATGCCTTATTAGGGAGAGCACTCCTGTTTTTTATATTAGATATGCTTATCATTAACTCAAATTGATAAGATGCAGTGACTTATTCAATAACTATATCTGGCCTATTTTCTCTCTGCTGGTTAATTTACCCATGTTTTCCACTCTTAAAGAAGTCAATCAAGTAAAATCCTAAGGAATTAACCACTGATTAAGGATCATTAATAAAAAAAAAAGGATCTTTTGCAACTCCAAAATTTCCAGACATTCAATCCCTTTAGGCACAGAAAAAATGGAAGCGTGTAGCCCTTACCTATATCACACTCACACAATGCAAGTGTAGCTACAACCGATCCCGAAGATGCCCCATAGATCCTGGATGCAGATTTCAGTATGTCAGGTGACAATTCCCGCAGAGCAGCTAACACTCCAGCTTCATATAGTATCAAGAAACTGCAGCCTCTAAACAGTATAGAGAAAGGTCTTCCCTCATTTCCATTTATCTTCATCATCTCTGCTAACACCAAGCACTCAAGCCACAGTAAAGCAGCTGCCCAGGACAGGTTCAGAGGTTTTTTTTCCTACAGCCAGCCAATACTTCACTGTGGCTGTTCCCAACCTGCTTCTGTTTCTGACCACACTCCTGCTGCCTTATATCTCTGCTCTACGTAGAACTCTAAGCCAAACGTCCAGTGAAACAATTGCAGTGGGCAGAAATGGATGACGTGATGTCTTAATACCTAAGGCCACTCATTAAAATAAAACTACAACATTGCAATATGTTTCTAAGGTGTGCACTTAGCTGCTGGGTAAAAGCCCCAGGTGATGTGGAGGGCCACGCGTCACATTGGTGTGTTGGGGAAGCAGCCCAGGGCTGGTCAGGAGGGCCTCAGAATTGAGCCCTCCAGAGTGAAAAGCTGCTTCCCCAAGCTGGTGGACTGCTTTAGTGGTACCCTGGGGTCCCAGGCTAAGTTTCCATCTTCTTGATAAGTAGGAATCAGCAAATATTCCCTGGTATACAAGAGTTTTGCAAGATGCTGCTCATTTGTAACACGTTACCAAACCCCATCCCAGGGAGTGGAGAAGTTGGAGAAGGTGATTGGTTTATTAAAGAAATCACAAGCCAAGTTGTTCTCCTTGTTTCACAATTTCAGGGTTTGAGTTTGCTTACAAAAGGGCAAAAATATAGAGTCCAGGTAACAACTTCTGGCTTCATCTACCTCCTAAATGGCTGAGGTTTCAGTAAAACAACAGGTCAGTAAAGAAGTAAAGAGGGGAAGAAAAAGTCTGACAAACTCAGTGATCTACTGATTATCCATCCAGAAATGCAAAACCTTGTTATCCTTGCAGCTAGGTGAGGCATTGGGAAACTGCTACAGGGAAAAACAGCACTGAAAGCTGGGCAAGAGCAGAAACAGCTGTCCAACCCAAACAATAAGCACTTGGACATATTGCTCTGAGATATGTGGAAATCTGCCCAATGTCTTCAGGTAAAAAGGCTTCCAAAACCACCTAGGAGATGCTTCTCTCCCTCGTGCTGTGTGCTAAGGCAGTGCTGGGTGAGTTTTGTGGCTGGATGCAGCTCCGATCTATGCAAGGGCGCTGAAAAGCAACACTGATGATCACGTAGCAGCTGCGCTGGACATGCTGGTGCCTACAGGGCTGTGGTCTCCACTAAACCCCAAACTCTGCTGTCCAAGCACCATTGGCACAGCGTTAATCCTGCCCCAGTTCCACAAGGGAGCAGTGTATGTCACTATCCCAGCTCCACCCAGGAGCCAAGCCACTAAGCTCCTTACACACACCTTGTATGAGCACTGCAGATCCCACAGCTGAATGGCAAAGGAAAAAGAGCAAAGAAGACCTGAAAACTCAGGAAGAGAGGAATAAATATATTCCATGCCTAGTCAAGAGAGCAAATGCACTGGAAATAATTTTCCACCTACTATTTAGTGTAAGGAACCCCTAAGAATTAACTGCAATGAGAACAGTCAATTCCAGAAGCTGCTCTGTGCTGTTTATTGGGTGCAAGAAAGATGTGGCATTTGAAATCCACTGGTGAGCCATGCAAAGGCAGCTCTTGAGATTAAGGAAAACTTTGATGCCCAACTCCAGGACACGGGCAAAAAAAATAGAGCCAGCCTTGTAGAAGCAACAACATTCCCATTGCTTCAAGCTTGGGGTTCAAGCCCTCTTCCCCTAAGTCAGCAGCATGGGCAGGGAGCTAGAAACAAAACACATTATTGCACTGCTTTCCAAACACAGCTGGACAACTGCATTACTCAAAACGCAAACGAAACCCACGGATCAGGCCACACAGGCCATGTTTTCCTCTTAATCGCATGTCTGTATTATTGAGATAGTCTGTAAATCCATTTGTTTTAACCTCTTACCCAATCTTGCAGCACCAAGAAGTAAATAGCGTTTACAGTGGAAAAGTTTAGGGAAGCCAAGTCTCCACCTGCTTACTCCATCGCTAGCAGCTACTGCCATCTCTCCTTGTCTTTCAAAAGGAGCAAGGAATGAAAAAAAACCCTGCAAACCTGTTTACACAGCCCTGGGTGGGCTTTGTGTCAGAGTGAGAGGTACCCAGACCTCAACAGTGGGGCTTGTAATGTAGAAGAAATCCAGGTGATGTGAAAAGGAGTGACCCAGATGGCATAAACAGTAATTGAGAAATCCTGCTGTGGAAATGGAGCAGCTGTTTCTTGGCCCCTCTCTGCCCTGCACCAGGATGGGACACAGACCATGTGCAACCCTACGTGACAGGCTGGTCTGTTTTATCAGGCCAAATGCCCTCATGCTCTTCAGCACGCACCACGTCTCCATCACCGGGTCACAAACAGTCCCTAGCAGAAGGACCCTACTCATTTGTCTTCTTTCCTCATCCCAGCTTTGCGGACAAAGCCAAGCTTGGCCTTGAGCAAACTGGCCATCCAGGGTGGGCCAGTTTGAAGCACTACTTCAGGTAGCCAAATGAAACAAAGGAATCCATGTGCATTCACAAAACTACTGACAATACAAGATTTCCCTCCTATGGCATTAAAATGAACCAGAAACCAACCCAGCAGCATAGTCAGGACACAGCAGGGAAAAGGCTGACAGATGCCAAGCTCCCAATGGTGGCATATTTTAGCCTTGAGCTGACACCAGACCAAAATGTTTCTTTCACAGATCTTCTGCAAAGACAAAGCTGTGACCTGAGGGCTACGCTGTTCTGGGAATCCAGTGGTGTTCCTAACCCACACAGGATTTCTGATGTCATTTCAAGAGAAAGACTTTGAGGAATTAACTTCTGTGGGACAATGAATCACCTCACTGCTTTGAATCAGACATGCAGTTTGCCAGACTTCAAGCACTAGTACGTACCTCGACAAATACATTAAATGTGCAGCTGATGAGCTGGTACTGCTGTGAGCTGTAGGTGCGTTGCTTCCCATGCAGACCACTGAATGTCCAGAAATATCATCTCCTGCAACTGTGGAAAAAAAGAAAAGCCATGTCCTGGATGCTTTTTCACTCAGCCATGTATAACACAGATTTATTCCCCTTAGATAGCAGAGTCTGGCTACTCTACATGTGTCACCCTGGATGAGGAAGCATTTAGTTAGGCAGGATGTTCAGGGCAAGAGGCAGAAGTCAGGAGGGGCTGAGCTCATCCAAGCTGCGTGCTGACTCACCTCCCAAAATTTCCTAATCCGGCTGTACTTGTAGCAGTGCCCAACACCGATCTAAAAGCCCATGACAGCTGGAAGATCCCTGGCAGAGACAATCCTGTGCAGGACCAGGAAGAATTTTGAACCCTGAAGCTACTCATGCCAAAGGCACTTGAAAAAAAAAGTTACCAACTACAAGATGCTGAGCTGGAGAGACCTCATGGCTTGCCAGAAAAGCAAAGCTCCTGTGAGATTTCCAGAACACGGAGAGACTGTCCCTTGCTGTTAGGAGTCTGCTTTCTCTCTCTTGGGGTCAGTAGGGATTAGTCTAGGCTGTATCCTCTGTCACACATCCTGGAACAAAAAGGTGCAAGTTCTGGCTTTGGCTTCACATTTAGATTAGCAAGTCTGTCACACCACCAAAGGATTCATCAGCCTTGCCTACAGCCTATGTTCTCCTTCCCCACGTACACGTTGAGCCTCTACTGCCCTGCTGCTTCTGTGAATAATCAGAAGCAACCTGTGATGCCACAGGGTCCAAAACAGGGAAACCACACATTTGCTACAACAGTAGGAAAAAAGTAAAGGATTAGGGGAGAGAAAGAAATCACTGTAGAAGTTCAAGATAACAGTTTTATTCTGGGTTGAAATCTTCTCAGGTAAGAGTATAATCTTAGCAAAAATCAGCTTATGTCTTTTTCACCTTCATGGGAGCTGAACATTTATTTGTCTCTGAACAGTCTGTAAAGTGATTAATCAAAGAGTTTCCTTAGCACCTCCCCAGCTTAGTGCACTGAAACATATGAGCATGAACAAAGGTGTGGCTCTGACAGTGGTCTGAACTTGCCCATGCTGGGGGAAATGCTGTTTCTCTCAGCTTGGCAACACGTGCCGTGCTCACCCTGTGCACCTTGCCTGCCTCTTAGCCAGCTCAGGTGTTGTATCAGCACATAGCACTGACCTGGAAACAAATCACTCGCTGCCTCCTCACCAGCAAAGGCTGACACTGGTCCCAGAGACTGTGCTCCCATCTGCCTGCCCTCCTTCCAAAACACTGATTTTAACAGTTGACAGCGTGATCAACGTTTTTGCCACTGACTTCACTGACAACCTTTATTCTAAGTAGGAAAGAAAAAAAAAAAAAAAGGGATTAATGATCCATCCTAGACCTCCTCTTGTAAATTGGTATTTCTGTGACTTTGGCAGCTCCCAGAATGTGCCCCAAAATACTAGGAAGTTTTGTTTATTTTTCTTGTAACAGGAATGTGGCATAGAAACCTCCAGTCTATACTATGTTTACCATTAGTTAGAGAAACTCTTCCCCTACTCATGTGACAAATATCTCATCCAGGCACATGACATGATGTCACTGTCTACAGCAGCCAGATGAACTGTCCTGATGGTGATGAAAACCACTGACTTCACAGGTGTCCTACGGCTGCAGGCAAAGGCTGTAGCATATGGTGCTCACAGACAGACCACCGCAGCGAGGCTGGGGCTCTCTGCTTGCCTGCTGATAGCTTTGCACGTGGGACTTTGAGGACAAGGAGATCTTTGAAGCAGGTCACGTGTAGTCTGAAGAAGTTAGGGCAGGCGCTACTTCACATCAGGCTAGCTGAGATTCTTTAGCCTCAGCAGACCCGTAAGATCACCTGGTTATACCAATAAGCTACCTTAGTTGTAGATGTTACACGGTATCAGAGCAAAGTTGCATCATCCCCTCTTTTTAGGTAGGGGAGGAGACCTGGGGAGAGCTGCTTCCCCATAAAAAGGCAACCAGAGTCACACTCGGTCTTTCCCATGCCCACCCACACCACTAAGGAGCTTTTCAGTGCTCTCAGCTGTAGGATTGCTAT